TCATTCTGATCCACATAAAATAATAAAAATTTGTTATCATCAATTAAAATACGCTCTCCCAAAATTAATTGGTGACAATAGGTTAGAATGTTTTATATTTGTGCAGTTGCACAGAAAACGTAGGCTACCATTTTCAAAAAAAAATTTTCAATTTCTTCGCCATTCAATAATAAATTAAATTTTTAAATAAAGTTAAAATGTCATTTGATAAATTATTAACACCAGAAAGAAGGAACTTTGTATATAAAATTGATAATGAAATGTATAATAATGCTCTGGTTAATTCTGAAGAAGAAGAAGAAAGTAGAAAAGATTATTATTTTTTAATGAAAAACAATATTGTAAAGAAAAGTTTATTTATGGATTTGAATTAGAAAATGCAAAAGATAAATTGGGTGAACCCAAAGAATGTGACAAGTGTAAAACAACAAGATACTCTGAGGGATTCTGTGAAGGCTGTATTACTTTACAACTACAGGGTCTTTTCACCACTTGGACATCTGGAAATAACACAGTTGACAACTTTATTCAACAATGTCAAATGAAATCTTCTCTACCAGACTATATTTTAGAATGGATACCTTTTGAGCAATTTGATGATATAACAAAGTTGACAGAAGGTGGATTTAGTTCAATTTATACTGCTACATGGACAAGGGGAAGAATAATTGATTACAATGAAAATAAAAAGGAATTTAGTTATTTTGGAAGGCAAGGAATAGTATTAAAAAGTTTAAATAATTCAAGTAATCCAGGAAAAGCATTTTTTGATGAAGTTGGTAGTTTTATTTAAATCAAAAATAAATACTATTATATAATACTAATTGATTTTATATTCAATTACAGGCAATAAATTATTGTAAAATTAAATCACCACTGATTGTTGAATGCTATGGTATAACTAAATTCCCAGATAATGGAAATTATGCAATTATTTTTGAATATTATCAAGAGGGAAATTTAAGGGACTATTTACAAAAAAATCATTCTAATTTAACATTAAAAAATAGAATTACAATCTTTGAATGTTTATGTAATGCATTATATGATATACATGAAAAAGATTTGATTCATTGTGATCTGCATAGTGGCAATATATTGTTGTATGGAGGTTATTGTTATATTACAGATTTAGGATTATGTGGACCAGTTGATGAAAAATCATCAAATAAAATCTATGGAATTATATCATATATCGCACCAGAGCAATTTAGAGGAAACAGAAATACAAAAGAAACAGATATTTATAGTGTTGGGATGTTAATGTGGGAATTATTTGCAGGCCACCCACCATTTGATGATAGAGGTCATAATCATCATTTAATTTTTGATATATGCAAAGGTTTACGACCACAAATATTGCCAGGAATGCCTGATGATTATGCACAAATGATGCAGATGTGTTGGGATGTGGATCCATCCAAAAGACCAACTAGTAGAGAGCTTCGGAACTTTGCTTATAATAAACTTGGAGAAATTCTTGATAATAATAATAGTAGTAGTAGTAGCAATATTAATAATATTATTTATTCACAACAAATTTATAAACCACATCCATTAGCATATCATACAAGTAGAATATTAAATGAAAGAAATTTCTAAATTAAATTTAAGTAATGATAGCTTATTAAGTTATGAAATATAAGTTTAGTAGTGCTTTATGGCTTATTTTATTATTAAGAACTAAAGGGAAATGAAAAAGGAAATTTTGATTCTACACTACCTGGAAGAAAGCACCTTTTTGATTACTCTGCAAAATTTTGCATAACAAAAAAATATCAATTTGCATATTAATTTTAATGCATAAAGCAATAAAATTCATTATTTTATAACATTCTAATAAAATTTCTTCTTGAGGAATTTTTGACAATTTTTCTTTTCAAAGAAACCTCTAATTCCGTTAGGATAGCCTTTTCTTTTTTCAATTGCCTTTCGAGTTCATCCTCAATGATGCTCAATTGGATTAAGGTCTGATGGTTGAGAAGGTCAACCTTAATTTTTTCGCGTAATCCTATTTTTCACATCATGAACAAGTACATTGTTATCTTGAAATAAATAATTTACCATACATGATAAAATTGTGAATTTTGCGGAATAATCAAAAAGGTGCGTCCCAGACACTTTCTTCCGAGCAGTGTCGCGTCAAAAACATTTTGTTTTTAAAATATTAAATATTATTGATGATGATACCTGAAATATAACTTTTTTTATATAAGAAATGGATTTTAAATCGCACGATTAAGTTTTGGGTTGATGAAATTGTTCACGTGGCGTAAAAATAAACTTTGATTCTGATTGAATTACTGAAGAAATGCCTGTTTTTTTTTCACAGGATAAGTTATCATGGAAAAAATAAAGAATCATAATCCTTGTTCGATATAATTCGAAAGAGACATTTTCATTTGTAAATGTTGTGAGTTGATTAAAAAATCAAGAATTATAAGCTTTTAATTAAATTTATTCTGGTACTTATATCTATTGATAAATGGATTATTAAATAATATGCTTTAAATTATACTAAAAAGACAGAATCCTCTGCACACAATGCTTTATTATCTTTTTCTATTAATGCCAAAGAAGATTTTATTTCTTCAACTCTTCTATATTATTTTCTACTGATAATTCATTTATTTCCTCGAGTAAGTCATCAACTTTATTTTTGGAGGAAACGTTGGAGTTGATGTAATTTGTTAAGTAGTTCTCTGAACATTTCCAATCTAATTTTAAAGATAATTGATCAGAAGGATTATTTGTTTTAATAAAAATAATTACCGATTTTGTGATATTTATGTTTTTATCTCTTCTTGGAGACAAGTCTACTTCCATTCTGCCTTTCCCGTTATATATTGATGGTCTTTTTAATTATTATCAAAGTTTAAGAAAAGCATTTTTCCAAAAAACAAAAAAAAAAATCCTTAAATAATAATAACATCCTACATTATCAGCTTATTATGGTCTCTATTATTAAGATTATTCATTGCCTACATTAACATTAACATTAACATTAACATTAACATTATCATCGCCATCATCATTGGTATCTTCTTCCTCCTCCTCCTGCTTCATAATTAGTCATCAACACGTGAATTAGCCTATTATGTATTAACTTTCATAGTAATTACAAATCTTACTTCTACCCTTGCATCCTTTACGGTAACCTTTTCGCTTTCGCATGTTAAACGAAATAATGAGTCTAGAGCTCGAAGTCTGTCTAATATATATATAAAAAAAGTTTAAATTTTAAAAATAATCAACATCATTCATTAATTAATTTAAAAAAATCAAACCAAATTTTTTACCCTAGTTAACATATAATCAACTTGTAACTGATAGTAATGGCTTTGGTTTCATTTTTCAATAAAAAGGGTTAATATGCATTTATCATTTGCCTCTTATATTAATAAAGTAGGTAAAAATCGGCTGTTTTACTAAAAAATTTTTTGGGGTGTTGAATTGAAGATAATTTTTTCTTTGATTTGTATTTTTGGGAGTAATTTTCGGAATTAATCACATCAAAAATTAATTGATGGAAAGAAAAAACCTTGATCAATTAATTAATAATAGTAACAAAGGTTATTCATTAATCTTGCGCTAGAACTAAGGTATCGAGAAAATGACATCATGCTGAACTTTCTGCACCATAATTACAATCGAGAGTTAATAAACCATTCAGACAAATCATGTGATAAAACAAAAAGTGTTAGTAAATGTTGATGAATGATTATGATGGATTTGTTGACTTGAATATATCGCAAAATTTATGCAACCGAGTTAACGTATTAAACAATGAATTAAGCCAGAACTGGGTATATTGAAAAATAACAGTAATCATTGAACACTAACCGTTAATATTAATAATTAAAAACGAAAGTTTGAAATAGGTTTAGCCAAGAGGATAGATTGAAAAGTGTGTTATTTGTTTAAGTACATTAAAATTAATGTCAATTTTGGCATTAATTCTTCTTTTTATGTAATAGTAAAGGTTGAATAACGTGTGAATTGAATATCAATGAACAATTGTTGTTACGTCACCATTGTATGGTTTTTTATGTAATAGTGATAATATCAAATTTATTTTAGATCAATATTCCCTATAAAAATACCAGTATCTTACGATTAAAAAAAATTAAAAATTAAAAAATTAAATTCCCATAAAAAAAAAATTTTTTTTTTGGAATCTTTATAGTCCTTTCTTCTCACCACTAGCACTAATAATAATAATGACAAAAATGAAAGGTGAAAGGTAATCAATCAATTAATAAACATTGCAAACACTTACAATATATTTATTACAATTGGCCAACTAATTAATTCCTTATATCTTACTTTTTAACATATATGCAGCATACAAAATCCAATTATTATTATTATTGGAGACATTGCCTCTCAAGATCAGCATTAACGTCAACATTGGCATCGTCGCCATCGCACTCCTCCTCGCCATCGTCATCGTCATTCTCGTTCACCCTATTTGTCGTCATCATCGACATCATCGTTCCCCTCCCCCTTGTAATCATCATTGTCATCAACCTACAACAACTACTAGTTCAACAATTAAGACGACAACATTATTATCTCCACCAGGGGGGGGGGACACGACAGTAACAACAACAATAATAATAACAGCAGTAATAATAATAATAAGAGTAGTAATTCTAACAATAACAGTAGTGGCGGTAGCAGCAATAATAATAATAACGGCTGTAGTTAAAACTTAGAACGAGCCGTGTTTATACTAGGCTCGATCCAACTCGAAATATTTCTTATAAAATCATGATTTTGTCGAAGAGGGCCTATATCTTGAAGAAGTGAATACTGGTGTTTGTATGGAAGAATTTTTAAAAAATAATGTCCTCAAAGAATTGGTAAAATTATCTAAAGATGATGCCCCACTAGGTATTCGTGGTGAAATTATTCGTGCGGTCAGAGAATTAATTGATCTCTTAGATGATCGTTTTTTAGTTCATAACTCTGTCCATCAACCAACTGTTAGTCTACTTCGTACTTGTGTTCATGATGAACAACAAAGTGAAGTGTATGATGAAGACTTGGTGGATCTGATGTATATCATTTGTTCTAAAATTCATGGTTTTCCTGCTCTTCTAAATATATTTTTTTATGATGCAAATTGGTTAACTACGCCTCAAAAGTATACTAAAAAAGAATTAGGCCTCTCATTAAATATTAGTAATAATCAAGATGGAAATATAGATGATGGTGCATCCATGACAAGCAATTCAACTACTGATCATGCAAAAACAACTGAATTTACCGAAGAAACCGAAAAACCAGAATATGAATTTTTTCTTTTTGCTTATTTATTACAATTTGTACATAGGGAAGGCAAATGTGGAGACTTTGCTAGAACTGGTTTATTATTTATAATGGAACTTGCTGATGGTCAATTAGCAGACTATATTTTAGAAAGTGACTTTGCTAATATCATGGCAGCCGGTTTGGGTGCTCTTTATTCACAATTACCTAGAAAGTTGATGGTAAAAAGTTCAAGTGGCGGATTAACAAACGCCACTTTACTTCGTTTTGGTGATAATACATCCGCTGAACTTGAAAAATTACGTTCTGGTGGCATTGAAGTTTCTTCATCCCCTGCGTTTAAAAGTCAACTTGATTCATTTTTGAAATTGTTAGAGTTTTGTCAAGATATTTTGAATAGGTGTCCAAATTCAGAAATTTCAACAGCATTGCTTCAAAATATTAAAGCACATTTTCTAGAAAATATATTATATCCGTCTATTCTAGAATGTTCTGATACTGATGGTTCATCTGTTGCTGTTATTTCTTATATTGATATAATTTTGCAAACTTTGGATCAAGAGGAGTTGGTTGACTTGGTTGTAGGTTTCTTGATGGATTCTGATAGCGACGAAGAAAATTCTTGGAATCAAACACTTCCAAATAATAAAGCAGCAAAGCGCCAAAGCACTATAAACTGGTTTTCAGGAATTGATACAAATTCTAATACCTCTTCTCCTTACTTTACGGCTATTGGTAGATTTACTCTTAAAGATCTTATATTTTCACGTTTGCGCTCGTCGTCACAGTCAACAGTCATCGCCGCTCTAAAGCTTCTTCAGAATCTTATCTCTAAACATTGTTGGTATTCTATTAAATTGTTAAATATTGAATTAGATGAAAATGCTACTTGTTTTCCCAGTCCAAATTATATGATCGAAAGTTTTCACAACAATGACTTGCATTCTTTAAGTGGTGCTCCAATTCCTAAGCCTATAACAATGAGTCATCATTTAAGAGAATTGGATCTTTTCTATTCATTGATTTTGGCAATTAATCCAAAACAAAGTGTAGAAATTATCACAAATGGATATGAATCTTATGTACGTGATGCAGAAGCAAATATAGAAGCGGATTTATGTTATCGTATTGGACAAGATTTAGAATGGACAGAAGAGGGACCAGCTCATCCTAAAACCAATAAAAATAAAGGGAAAAATTATTCAGCTTATAGTCAAGGCAAGAATCCCAAAAAGCATAGTCATGCGGAAACTCATCATGTGCTAAAACATAAATTAAACCCAACAGATCGTTTAAAACCTGCTGATTCACTTTTACAAATTCTTATCGGTACACTTTCCAATTTTTTTGCTCATTCACCTGAATTGAACCTTACTTTGACTGGAGTAATTTCAGCACTTGCCATATGCCCATATAGATCATTAGAAGGCTGGTTAGTGTTTAGTGGTGCTGATAGATTAGATAGCCGGCAAGATTCTTCAGCCAAAGATTTTGAAAGTCTTCAACACGAGGCCAGAAATCTTGAACGTTCACTTGGAATTATTGCCAGTAGTAGTGATAGTAGTGGGTCTGGTAATAAGAAAAGTGATGTATTGGATGAATCAGACGATCGTTCAATAGATCATGATTTTGAAAAAAGTGCATTAGCAAATAATACTATTGGAGTAGTTCCAAAATGGGCCAATTTCCCACCATTCTTTACAATTTTTAAGACCTTAACACAGCAAGTTGATTATTATCGAAGTGAAATAGAAGATTTTGACCAATATCTTGATGAGAGAAGAAGTGGCTTACTTGACACAGAAGATGAAATTGATGAAAATTTCTTTAGACAACAATCATCTACAGCCTTCGCATCCCGCGCATCTCCAAAAGGCATTCCTTCGAATTCTTCCAACACAAACCTTCGCCGAAATAACTCATTACCAATGAAAGCTCCTCAAAGATCTCGTTCTTTCTCGCGTAAAGATACATCATCAACATCACCAATCAATTCACCATTATCATCTTTTAAATCTTCTCCTATTTCGTCTAATATTGTTACACCACTTACAACGCATTTCAGCAAAACTGAAAGCATTAAAATTAAGCCACTTTTCCCCGCGAATTTTGTCAATGAAGAGGAAGATCCAATTGACGATATCGGAGAAGAAGAAGATGATGAACTAACGTCCTCAAAGAAGCAAACAAGAACTAAATCAAATGAATCTAAACCAAAGGAAATTACATTAAGCACACTACTTAATAATGTGGTTATTTTGGAAGAAGCAATAAAAGAATTAGTGGCTATAATACAAGTCAGGAGAAGTTTGGGTATTGATGAAGTTAGATACTTGTAGCATTAGAATGTTATATTTATTACTTTATTGTTGCTGTTTATTTATTGTATATATTAATTTCGATTTCCGAGTTAGATATATATCTATTTATATATTATTTAAAAATAAATAAAAAGAGATACTTGTCATGCATGATTTATTAATCAAAATTTTCAATTTGTGGTGGAACTTGCTCGTTTATCTACAATATAGATATGATGGTTTTGTGATGACTACTTCTACCACCTAAGTGTGTATACATATCTTTGCATCAATTTGAAATTCATTTTGATTCCATTCAGACTAAATTTTCTTCCCTAAATTTTCAAATTGCGTAATGATCTTCAAGCCAACAAAACTTAATTATTGTGTGATATATCTGGAAG